TGAAACATTTCTGGCAGTCACCCTCGGGAGAGAATTTCTTACACTTTTTAACTTTTCTTAAATTGTGAAATAACTCATTCTAGTCAATATTTTTAAATGCAACATAGAGGAGGACTTCGTCCAGGACACACGGTAAGGATCTTCTTTATAGCAATGGGGTCTTTCTTATTACACTGTGTGAGAACAAATTCAAGGATTCAGGACTAAGTATCTCTTCTGTTTAGGATTTTACAGCAATAAGACAGCAGTATCTTTTATTGTGCTGCTCTCAGAATTAGTATGCTATTGCAGTCAGGCACTGTATGAGACTAGTAAGGGAAAATGCAGCTGTATAGAAGTAGTATTTATTGGCATGACAAAAAAACAGAGACTCTTGCACTGGATACATGGACTCTGTCCTAAACTAAACATTAAGGAACTTTCAAATTTTTATTGACAGCCCAGAATGCAAACATCTTAAGTGTGTGGCCATCTTAGCAGGAATCAGCTTCCAGGTGTTGCTTAGAACCAAGTATGCAGTGTGCAGTATCTGAGGTAGAAGACTGAAGATATGGTAGTGAGTAAAAGGAGCCCTTTGCTTAGGTGGGTGAGATCCTATGTGCTCTCTTCTGTGAGGGTCTTACAAGCAAACTGTGCAATTGCAAAATGCTCCAAGAAGACCAATTAAAATGATTAAAGGCTTGAGAAAGAGACCTTGTAAGAATAGTCTTAATCATCCATCCACTTCTGATCATATAGCCTGAAGAAGGCAAGGGCTAGCAAGTTCTTAAGAATGTGGAGGTGATGCTAAGTGTCTGTCTTCTGTGTTAGTGAAGACAGAATAAAAGAGGATGAGCTTTCAATTATATCACAAGAAAGTTAGACAGTAAAACAAACTTCCTATGGCAAAAGCTGACCGAAATGAAAACACTTTTTAAATGGAATTTGTATGTATTTTCTGGCTGTACATGGTGAAAACTGTGAACAGTTAACTTACTTCCATGTTTTAGTTTATAGTCAGTGTAGTGTGGTGGACAATATGACCTTTTTCTTTTTTCCACTTTTTTGTTAAGGTATCGTATGGCATTGGCCTACATTTATCCCAATTAACACTATTAATGAGAAATTATAAACTTGCCACCTAGGAATATATTTCTCATTTTTCATTAAGGTAAAATTCAATTAACACAAAATTCACCTTTTAAGTAATTTTAGAGTACATGATTCAGTGCTTTCAGGACAATGTTACACAACAATTACCAATATCTAGTTCCCATAGCTAATCACCACCTAAAAGGAAGCTCCCTATCCATTAAGTCACTTCTCATTTCCGTCTCACCTGGTCCCTGGCAACCACCAATCAGTTTTCTATCTCTATAGGTTTGCTTTGGGAATATATTTCCTTTGGAACCTTCTGAATTCATTTAATTTTCCAACTAGAAATTACAGACTACTAAGTATACACTCTCTCTCACTCTCTGTGTCTGATGGGACAGAGAGTGAGCATTCATGAGAAAGTTTGCAAGGCTGAATCTATTGAAATATTCAAACCAAATGAGGATCTGGAATGATAGTGATCTGCAAGTTAGATGTCTATAACTTAAATTAAGTGTCTGAACTTAATTTCTCAAGAGTCCAGTAGGTCATAGGTTATAAAAATGTGAAATAGTTCTTGAGATATGCCCTTAATATTGTGAAAGGCTTCTGAATGGAAAAATGGCATTACAGCTACAAAGTTAGGCTAAAACGTTTCACATCCAACAAAAGTTCTGTCCTGGATCTGAGTCTTCCTGTCATAGTTGATGATCACCCTACTACTTTTCTTTGAAGCAGTATAATGGTGACCATTTTCTATTCTGTGTTTTTCCTGGTAAATACATCAGATATAGCAGAGGAAAGTTAGGAGGCATAGTGGGTAAGTAAAGAGCAATTTAAAAATAAAATAAAGTAATAAAACACCTTTTATTTCTCAACCATAAGTATTTGTTACCAATTTTAAATTAGAATTTATCTCTATATCTATCTATATCTTATTCTGGCTGAGCAAATTGGTTTTCCATTCAGCAATTCACACATATTTTCTTTGAGACACTGATTGCAATCCCCACAATGCAACAGCACTCTTCTCATTTTCTCCCTGTGGTTACTGTTTCCCTTTGTCCTACATTCCTATCCATTCCAGACTTCTGAGCTTTATCCCTGGGCTAGTGCTGCCCTTTTGATCTCTTCTGGTTGATTGTTCTTCTAAGGAGTGCTCCCTCCCAGGTGCTTTTGTTCACCTCATAGGCCTCTCTATTGTTGGCTGAAAGTTGAGCCTTAGGGGTGAGTTCAGTTCCAGGCTTGAAGCATGACTAAAGGCCATAGTCTGTTTGTGGGCAGGGGGATGGGGGTATCAGACCAGTATCAGACCAGTAAGCCTGGTCTTTTTTTTTTTTTTTTGAGTTTTTTTTCCCCATTTTTCTCCCACTCTATCTAAGACTTTCTATTGTTATCCCTTTCAGAGAAGTCAGCATTTTTGAGTGAAATTCTTAAAAAGTTGGTTAATTGAAGAATTTGGTTATTCAAGAATTTAAAAAATTTGTTGTTGTTGTTATGTGCCATCGAGTCGGCCCCGACTCATAGCGACCCCTCCTTGGGTTTCCGAGGCAGTATCACTACGGAAGTAGGATTGCCCAACCTTCCGAATTGGAAAATGGTTTTTAGGTTTTTTTTGTAAACTAATTTAAAACTTGTATGGCTTTCTTAATTATGATTACATTGACAGGAAAGTTGTGTGTTTTGAGTTCTGAAAAAATATATGACTTTGGAAGAAGTCTTAGTTTTTAACTAGTCAAATGTTCCCTCTGAGGGAGGAGCAGTCAGTTGGGTGGTGTGATGGAAGTGGTGCTTTGTAATTAAAAATGTCAAGACCAGAAGATTTCTGCCATTTTGCATATATTTTGAAGATTTTTATTCCATTTTCAATTCCTTTCCATTTCATGACTCCTCACTACTATAGCTTGACTTTTCCCATTAATTAGGATTTAGGATCCCCTCCCAAAGGGCAAACATCTCACTGGTTTTGATGTTATGGATCTTGCTTATTTTCTTTCCATAGCATGTTTCTCATTTGCTTCACTCCACTCATTTGTTCTTCTCACCATTCTCTCAGATTTGACTCAAAGGTATTCCTTGATAAACAGAGACCACATGTCACATTTTGAGGTATATTACTGACCTAGGTGTACACTGTCTTATTCCCACAAACCCTTCTTAGTCAGCATCAAGCATTAGGTGGAGGCAAACATCTTTAACCAAGTGAACCTCCTTGTAGTCACCTAGAAGTTTGGGACAGCACAACATTCAGTCTTGTAGCATGTAGTAATTAATATGAAGCATTTTGATGTCCTGTTGCTGAGAGACGCTGTGGCAAATGGGCAAAGTATCATTACCTTTTGTGCCTTACTTGACGACCTATGAAAATTCATCTCTAATAACAGCTCTCCAGAAGGCGGAGAGGTTAAATTTGCCAGTTTCCCCCTTTAGCAGATCCTTCGTTTGCATGTGCTTCAGTTTACTTCTGAAAGACATACGGACATATGACTGTATTCTCCAACTTCAGAAAACAAGCCAAAGTCTCCCTGTGAGTAAAGAGAAAGGACTTGGGAGTGTTGTGTTAAAGAATGGTAAAAAGAGCTCTGGAAATGGAAAAACAGCAGCAGCCAAACCGTAAATCTCCTATCTCTACCCTCCAGACCACGTCCCAACAGAATCTAGTAGCACTCCGCCCGTTGGTAGACCTATAGGGCTCCTGATTGAGAGTCCAGATACAGGGCATATATTCAGGCGTGTTTGGGTGCTTTTTGCGTGTTTGCCTGGTGCTCAGGGTATGGGATCTGGTTGGAGTTTCAATGTGTAGGCTCTACTCCTGGGGTTTTGGAGAGATTGAGAAGGGTAAGGTAACTGGCTGAGGAGGGACTGGTAAGGCCCAGCGGGAGGAAAAGGAGAAAAGCCCTGGGAAGCTCAAGTCTAGTGTTCTCCATAGTCATTCACCTGCCCCTTTAGGAGATCACCGGATGACTTTATCTAAAGAGGGACAGATTCTGGGACACAACTGGGATAACCGGTATTCCTGGTACCTGCTTGTCAGATACTGGGGCGTTTGGAGGGAGAAATGGGGAGGAGACGCCTAAGGGGAGAATCCGTGTCCCGGAGAAGGGAGAATGAAGAAGAGAAATGCTTGGGATGCTTCCTCCTCCCCGCGTCTCCAGGGAAGAGAGGGTGATCGAGTTTTGACCTAGGGGTGGGTCTTTAACTCGTTGCGGGACTTCACCTTTGCTTACTCCGGTGTAGAGGGCTGGACTCTTGTTATTTGAGCCCCCTTCCTGCCCTTTGATTCTCTTTCTTTAAGAGAAGCCCTGCTAAGCAACCCTGGGAAGGAAAGGCATTCTCAGCTGCAGTTGGGCCGGAATTTAAGAGTCAGGAAAACTCTGTGAAATGGATTATGTTTATATACACATTAAAAAAATTATTTTTATTTAAAGAGGGAAAAAAGAAAAAAATAAAAAAGCCCCCAAGTTCGGACTGGAGCCTTTGCACAGTGACCGTTCGGCGGCCGCCGCCTCGAACGCCCAGGTAGTGGATACGAAGCGCTTAGTTCAAGAACCTGCCTCTTTGCTTTGCGCAAAACCTCTTCATGTCCGTCCCGGGGGTCCCGGCACTTTCTACCCCTTACCATTCCTTCCGCCTACCCGACCCGTATCTCGCGGCTTCTCAGTCGGTGGGAAAACCCGGCGAGTGGAGTTGGCTCAAGCGAAGGACCCCGCAGGCCGCGCCTGTTGTTTATGGCCAGTCTGACGCGTGCGCCCGGAGCGAGCGACTGGTCTTGGCCAAGGCGTGGAGGGCGGCGCTGCGCGCAGGATCGGCTAGAGCCGGGTCGCGCGCGCGGGGACGCCCGGGTGGCCTCCAGCAGAGAGGGCGGCCCGGAATCGTCGGCGGGAGGGAGCTCCGCCCCCCGCCCGGTATAAGTGCTGGGCCCGGCTGGCGGCAGCCGCGGTGGTGGCAGCGCGCGGAGTCGGGCGCCCCGGTTTTCTCGGGCGGCTGTTAGCCCCCCACCAGCCTCTATAAGGCTTTTCCTTTCCAACTTCAGCTACAGTGTTGGCTAAGTTTGGAAAGAAGACAAAAAGAAGACCCCCCTAGGCCGTTTTCCTTTTATTTTTCATAGTAGTCTTTGGGGTCTTTTTGCACAAAGCTTTTGTGTTTTTAGCGGTGCTATCTTCTGTTCTTTGCACTCCTGTTAACAACAATCACCTCGGAAGAGCAGCAGCAACAACCGTAGCAGCAGAAGAACAAGTCGGGGTGGGGGGAGGCGCCTGGTGTCATGAACAGGGCAAGAGATCCAAACCGCCGGGGAGGATGCTGTGGTGAGTTGTTTTGACCAAATGCATGTGGTGTAAACACAGATTGGGCTTTGGAGACAAGCAACTCCTCCACATAAGTTTTGGAGTAAGGTGGCTAAGCTGTTAACCACAGTGCTTTGAGCTGTTTGACTCATTTCGTGGAGGTTGAGGAAGAAAGGTGTGGTTGGAGTGGGTTCAACAGCTTGGATTATTTTGTACTTTTTTTTTTTTTTTAAAGGAGTTAAAGAATGTCGAAACAAGAGCTTTCTTCATTTTCTGTGCAGTTAGGCAGTTATTGACCAATAGGTAATGCTGAATTTAAGTCACAGGTAGTTAAGTAACTCAATGCATCCATTCCTAAGTGACTTGCCCCACAAAATAGATTTTTAACGATCATGTCTTAGTAAAAACAAGTATAAAAAAGCATTCTAACCTCAGCTCACAACAGTGACTAAATATGCTTACTACTTTGCCTCCCGCCTGTTTTTACAGGATCCTTAGCAAACTTCCTGACCTCTGCAAAATTCCTTCTTTACCTTGGCCATTCTTTGTCTACCTGGGTAAGTGAGATGTATGGTAATTCTTACAACATATATTGCACAATTTCATGTTTCCTTTAAGTCGAACCAATTGCATTAAGTCAACTTCCACTTTTATCATGCAGTTAAATATATCATACAACGAAAAAGTTATCTTTACCAAAGATACGTTCTCTGAGATGTTAATAAAAAACTTTATATAGATGGACAAATATCCAAAGATAGCATTAACAAGGGCAGGGGTATTTACATTGTTTATAAATGATATGTTGCATTACTAGGCATTTTTGTTGTTGTTATATGCCGTGGCGTCGGACTTAACTCATAGTGACCCCTCCTTGGGTTTCCGAGGCAGTATTACTGAGGAAGTAGATTGCCCATCTTTCCTTCCCAAGAGTGGCTGGTGGGTTTGAACCACCAGCCTTCTGGTAAGCAGTCAAATGCCTTAGGCACAATATCAACTGCTAAGAATGGATGGATGTCACATATTTTCTACTTCTTTTACATTTTAAGACAGGACACTATTTTCTCCTTTTGTTAAAATTTAATTCTAGCAGGTTGCACTGTGAAAATTCAGTAGATTAAGGGAGTGACTTATGGCTATGGGGTAATATTGGCGATTGAAAATTAATTTATATATAAATGATCCCAAGAGCAAATATATCTGAGTGACAAACATTTTAGTCCTTAAAAATTCTGTTATCAGCTATGTGTGGGGCAGATCAGGCTATCTAGAAAATTATCATCCAATCAATTAAAATTAGCAAGTGATACATAACTGTCCTTACTTCCTGTGTGGTCTTGGAAGAGTCTCAGTGTTTTGGCAGGCCTGGGTTCCTTCATCAACCAATAAACAAAGGAGAATAATTTCACAAGTATCCTGGATGTGTATTTAATTATGATGATTGTTGTTGTTATTGTTGTTGTTATGTGCTGTCGAGTGAGTCTCGGACCTTGGGTTTCTGAGGAAATATCACTACGGAAGTAGATTGCCCCATCTTCCTTCCGAGGAGTGGCTGGTGGGTTTGAACCGCCACCCTTCTGGTTAGCAGTCAAGTGCCTTAGCCACTATGCTACCAGAGCTCCTTTAAAAATTAAACAATTACTCTTACTGTTTAAAAGCAGTAAATTTAAGTATATTCTATTCATGCCTCAGATGTAAAATTTAATTGAAAAGAACTATAAGTAAGGAGAAAGAATTTTGAGAGAACATATTTTGAATGCTACTTAAAGAGAAAATTGGTAACTTTTATTTGGTTGTTCCTAAGACATGAATGGAAGCTATTGTATGAGGTAATCTGTACCCATGCCCTTGGAAAATTATTAAGCTGGGTTATCGGTTGTCTAAGAAATAGCAGTTCATAGAGAGCTTTTTAAAAATTCAAGGTTCTATCTTCCCAGAGGCTTAGATGGAATGACTCTGCAAATTTCTATAAACAAAGTAGAATTGCTGTGAGTTTCTATTCCAAATAGCTGATGATTCTAAGTAGAAATGTAGTGAAACTACCCTTAATAAATCTAAGGCAAGTTTGTTCTTCGCAGTTTAATTTACTAAATAAATGTTGAGTGTTAAGAGGAGTTCCTGTATAGCACAGTTAAGCGCTCAGCTACTAGCCAAAAGGTTAGCATTTTAACCATTTCCTGGAATGCTTTGTCCAAAAGGCCTGTATATCTGCTTCTGAAAGGTCACAGCCGTGAAAACCCCGTGGAGCACAGTCCCACTCTGAAAGCACACGGGGTCGCCATGAGTGCGAAACGAGCCAACTGCCACTGCTGGTGACTGGTTAAATGCTAAGGAGACCAGTAACAGGTGGTTGAAGTAGTGTCCGAAATTGTCATCTTGTGATCATCAGCTAGCTCTTAGAAGAAGAAAGTACCTCACTTCTTAATTAAGGTTTGGTTAGTAAGTTTGGAGTTCAGATTTGCCAAAAAAGGTGCAACTGTGGGATAACTTTTTAACATATTAATTAAAAGTCCCACAAGAAAAGGGACAGCTTTTTCTAAGCTAAAACCTCAAAGAGAGCAAAGGGAGTTCCTGTGGGAAAATTGAATTACAGTAAAAAAAAAAAAGCAACTATGTAGTTTGTTGTTGTTATGTGCCGTGGAGTCGGGCCGACTCCTAGAGACCCTTCCTTGGGTTTCCAAAGTGGTATCACTGCGGAAGTAGACTGCCCAACCTTCCTTCTGAGGAGTGGCTGGTGGGTTTGAACCGCCGGCCTTCTGGTTAGCAGTCAAATGACTTAGGCACTATGCTACCAGAGCTCCCATATAGAGTTTAGTGGACCTTTAGTTCTCACTGCAAAGGGGAGCAAAAGGAGCAATACTTTCTAATTCCAAGTAATCCCACTTTTGAGTTTTGTCTCTTCTTTAGCATTCTGCCTGATTTTATAACAGGAAACTATGTATACTGATGTATGTAAGTTAACATATCTGTTGTATATTCCCTAACCCCGCTAAATCATGTTTTCCTACGCATTGACCATAGGGCCATTCGGTGGAAGGTTATCACAGGTTAGATTTCTGTGGGATTGAATTTTAATTTTTGACTTAATTTCTAAATGCCAGTAGATAAGTATACTTTTACTGTGTACTTTGTCAATACATTTTTACTGTGTACCCTATAGAATATAGTATAAGAAGTAGATCCTATCATCAAGGAACTTACAATTTGGTATGAGCTTTAAAAATACACCTAATCGTGAAAAGATCACCAACAGGTAAGGCAGTTAAAAAGGGGAGCAAGTTGCTTCTCCCAGGGATGCAGCCTATGTCATTATCCTACGGACTGTCCCCACTTATGCTGCAGATGTCTGCATGGCTCCAGCTGCCACTTCCTTCATGTCTCTGCTATGGAGACCTTGTGTAATCACCGCCCAAACCCCACCCTCTTTACTTTTCCTCATAGCATTTACTGCCTTCTGACCTGTTGAAGCTTTGTTTTTGGTCTCTGTTCACTGCAATGTGAGCTGCAGGAAAGCATGGACCTTGATTTTTGTTCACAGCTGAAACTGGAGGGCTTGCAACAGTATTGGTTAAATAATGGCCTCTCTATGAATATTTATTAAGTGGATTAGTGACTGATCATTCAGTCACCGGTACTCAGTAGGCATTCTGCTCTCAGTCCAGTAAAGGTAGATAGACGTGTAAACAAATCATAGAAGTAGGTCGACGTCCTGTGGGAAGGCAAGAAATGGGAATAAGAAGGGAATGGGTGGGCTTGAGATTGCACTTGCTCAACGTTTGTTTAGACTCTTCCAGATTCTAGAGCTCTTTGTGAGCTTAGAATCTGTTGGCTTCTTTAGTAATCCTTTTGGAAATTGGAGAAACTAGAACAAGTTTAGGAGCTCTCATAGCATAGTGCCTAAGGCACTTGACTGCTAACCAGAAGGCTGGCGGTTCAAACCCACCAGCCACTCCTCAGAAGGAAGGTTGGGCAATCTACTTCTGTAGTGATACTGCCTCGGTAACCCAAGGAGGGGTCGCTATGAGTCGGGTCCGAGACTCGACAGCACATAACAACAACAACAACAGACCAAGTTTATTCCTTTCCCTCAGGGAGGTGGTAGGCTATAAAAGGGTAAGCAAGAAAGAAGACTTCCATTTAATAGGACTCGTTTTAATGGCCTGCTCTAAAGGAATCGGAAACAAATTCTTTTGGGGGTAAAAGTAGGAGTAAGAAAAAAAGAAGCAACAGTATTAAATTAGTATTTCTTACTCTTCTCATTAAGAAACAGGAGTGTCACTTACTGAGATAATTTATTATTTTGAGAATTTATGTGTTTTTGTCTTTTTCTTGGGAGCTATTTAGAGGAATGGAGATTTGGATAAATTACCTCCCTTCTCCTCATTCCATTCTATTCTACACACATTTAAATTTGTTTTCTTGTTAAACACTGAGGAAAGAGCCTAATTTGCTATTCTTGCTGACATCTATATATATTAACTTGTCTTTATATTAGTTTAAAACAAATTGTATGTGTGTTTTACCTTTTTGGTCATTTAGCACAAAGACACTTTGAGTCTTACCCAATTCCTACTTAAAATTTAATTGCAAAAACTTCCTATCACTTATCTATCGAAGCAAATGTGAAAAAATAATCTGTCTCGGGAATATTGATCACAGTATTGATAGTCTTCATACTTCTTGAATATTCATGGGATAATAATAACGTACTAGAGCAATGTAGTTGACAAATCAGTCCAGGTTTCTTCAGCTCTTCTCTATTTACTCTTCCCCTGCTGTGATGCACTGAACATCCATCCATTCATTTACTGAGTCCAGAAATAACGTGTTGTTTACCTCTTCTGGTGATGCGCTTTAACCACTGTGCTGACGGTTGAGGGTATAGCGAGTTCTAGATTCCACTTTCCAAACCATTAAGTGAGAATCAGTCTTTCTGACAAGATGCCAAGGGCTTCCAGTTTTTTTGTTTTAAAGTTTACTTGACTGTATCTACCCCATTCTCCAAGGTCTTCATTTTATGTTAATTTAAAATTGTGGTTCAAAATTTTGATAATAATCTTCTACAACATGGTTTCTTTACTGTGGCACTATTGGCGTTTTGGGCTGGATGATTCTTTCACTGTTGTAGGGCGTGTCCTGTCCATTGGAGGATGTTCAGCAGCATTCCAACTGACCTCTATCCATTAGATGCCAGTAGCACCCCCACCCAGTTGTGACAATCCAAAATGGCTCCACAGGCCAAGTGATCCCTGGGGGAGGATCCCTCCTGGTGGAGAACCACTGGTCTGCACTAAGTTCATTTTACATGATTGCTGTTGTTTGTGTGCTGTCAAGTCGATTCCAATTCCTCGTTACCATATATGACAGAGTAATACTGCCTTATAGGGTTTCCTAGGCTGTTAATCTTTATGAGAGCAGATCTCCAGGTCTTTTCTCCTGTGGGTTTGCTGATGTATTTGAACCACTGACCTTTCAGTTAGCAGCCAAGTACTTAACCATTGTACCATGAAGGCTCCTTAACACTATTGCTGGCTTGCATCAATTTAAGTTTTGAGTGCATGAGATTGTTGTCTTGGCTTTATTAACTTTTTAAAATCATTTCACATACCAAGATAATACATTGTTTGTCATGTATTAAATTTATCAGGAAGATGTTAACAGGTTTAGGAAAGAACTAAGAGTGTAAGAACTTCTATGTAGGGTCAAATCTATGAAGAACCCAGTCTAGGAATTTAGTTTCTTGTAGTAATTCCCAGGGATAAATTGTTAAAAGCATTATTGTCCTTCCTGAAGTTAACCTCAGAGGCTAGGGATGGAGCCTAAAGTCTCTTAATAAGTTCCATTATTGATTTCTTATATATTAATTTACCTGACTCATTTGAAAGCTTATGTTAAACTAAAACCAGATGTTGCAGTAATGAATCCCAAACTCCCCTACATACTCTGGTGTCTATGTAAAGACGGGTTTTTTTTTTCCCTTTCGAAACCCATCTGAGTTAAAATATTCATATGAAACAAATATTACATTTAAATTAAATGTATATTTAAATTTATTTCTCATATCTAGGTTCATTATGTGCCAGAATTTGCCCTTTTTACATCTGTCTTTCTGATCACTCTGTTGTGACTTTAAAATTTATCTCTGAAATAGAGCATAACTTTTAGAACTTCTAGAGGTAATGAAACTTTAGAGTTGTATATTCTGTCCTTGTCACTTTATAAATTAAGCAACTGGCTTTTTTCTTCACTTTGGAGGCATACTGATGTTTCCGAATGATCCTGTCATTTAGTTCTGGTTCAGCAGCAAACAGCTTTATGCCTCTCTACATCAGGACAGGCATAATTCAGGCCCGAGTAGAAACCTGGCACACAAGGCAACAGGTTTTGTCTCAAAACACCTTGCTAGGTCAGGAAACCACATTTTCTCTAGAATGATAACGAACTTGTGCATGTTTATTAATATTGTGGTGTTTAAAGTTTACTCATTAATTGGGCAAGAATATTTTCTACAGTACCAAAATGAACAGTATTCAATCCATACAAGAATTTGAAAATCTCATGATGAATCTGGAAAGTGCCCTTCTGATAAAGAAGCAACTTCTTGAGCACAGTTGACTAGAATATAAAAACCTCTCATCAAAATCTCTTCTTTTCTTACTCTAGGGAGATCGAATGTGGCACTTTGCAGTGTCTGTGTTTCTGGTAGAGCTTTATGGAAACAGCCTTCTCTTGACTGCAGTCTATGGACTGGTGGTGGCAGGGTCTGTTTTGTTTCTGGGAGCCATCATTGGAGATTGGGTGGATAAGAACGCCAGACTTAAAGGTGAGTGTTGTTATAACTAAGCCCTGGCTTCTAAGGGGAACAGTGCCTGAGCTACATCCATAATAAAAGAAAAAACGGTGAGTATTGGGTTTGCCCTTCCATGAGGATGGGGTACTTGATGGTAGTACCTCCACATTGAGGATCCTGTGGTTCCTACCAGATGTTGGGATGCCGGGACACTTGAGCACATTTTTTTTTTTTTTTTTGACGGTTCATAATTTCCAGATGTTAATGATTAATATCGTAGCATTTTAAAAAAGCAATTTTAAATTTTTTTTGTTGAGGATATGCACAGCAAAACACAACAGTTCAGTTCAACAGTTTCTGCATGTTCAATCCAGTGACAGTGATTACATTCTTTGAGTTATGCAACCATTCGCACCCTTGTTTTCTGAGTTGCTCGTCTCTAATTACATCCTAGCACTTTTCTGGAAACTATGTTAAACATAAAAGTTTGCTTTTATGTTACTGGCTTCTTTTTGAAGGGTAAGTTCCTCTAGGGTGATGTTCCTAGGACTACTCTTACATCTGTCCTCTGGATTACTGTGTTTCATGAAGTAGTATCTGTGTGTGGTGGGAGAAGAAATGAAAACTAAATACAGATTCAAGGGAGAATATCTAAGCCTGGGTCACAGAGAGCTGAATTATAATTTTTTTTTAGGGAAAAAGAAGAAATAATATGTTAAAATTTCTTCTAGAGCATTAATACTGAGATCATTCAGTTTTATATATGAAAGAGAGAAAGTGATTTGAACAATTTAATTATCCAGGATATTGGGCAATGTGGATAATTATTGAGAGCAAAATTTTCCTGAGTTGCCCACTGGGTCTTGCCAAGAGCTAGCATGTCTGCCACAGACATTGGGGAAGGACTGAGATGCAGAGTAACCTGGATTATCAAATTCGAGGACTTGATGCTATTGGTAAAATGGTTAAGAGAAAGATTTCTCTGTTTTGAGAATGGGTAGACTTTTTTTTTTGAGAATACATCTAGAAAAATGTTCTATATTCTAGGGGAAAAAAATCCCTAGTTGTTAGATCACACATTGAAAAAAAAAAAAAAGCCCAAACCAAACTTACTGCCATTGAGTAGATTCTGACTCATAAAACCCCCAATGGGTTTCCAATGTGCTAAATCTTTACAGAATTAGATTGCCCTATCGTCCTTCCTCAGAAAAACATTATACATAGGAACCTTTAACCTTATGATTGTTGAGTACTATGATTGTAGGTTAGGAAAGAATGACGAGTTAAATGAAGAAGAGTGTGGTGGGATAGGAATCACCCACTTATTCTGTGTTATCAATTTCCGTCACCCTCCATGAGAAACTTTCCTTGATTTCTCTAGGCTAAATTAACCATTCTTTCCTCTGTGAGCCCATTGTTACTACCTCTGTTCTTGTACTTTGTGGTACTTAAGGTTGTCTGTCAACTTGGCTGGGCCATAGTTTGAAGTGGGTTGGCAGCTGGATGTAATTATTCTCCATGATGAAATTGTATAAACACCTCCAAAGCGGAATCTGCTGAGAATGGCTAATTAGTTGCCTGCAGGGTGTGGCCTGCTTCCAGTATCTATGGAGAAGCTTTGGGAAAGGTCTCTGCTTTTTGGCACATTTTGGTCATGTTGCTTACTGCTCTTGGGGTTGTTCCTGGACTTGAACCGGTGGCCTGCCATGTTGCCTGCTGATCTTGGGACTGTGCCATCTTACATGCCATCTTGGATTTGTCAGCCTCAGCAGTCAGCAGCTGTATGAGTCAGAAGAAGCCTCTAGGTCCAGTGGACCTGGAACAAGAGGCAGAGCTGAAACCCAAGGTCAAAGGGTCTTCACCCACCCCCTAGAGATGGTACTTTGAATTCAGACTTTTAGCCTCCTAGACTGTAAAAGAATAAATCCTTTCTTGTTAAAGCCATGTACCTGTGGTATTTCTGTTAAAGCAGCACTAGAAAACTAAGACATAATTTGGTATCAAGAGAGTGGGGAACTGATCTAACTGATACATAAAATGTGGAAGCAGGAGTGGAGCATGTCCTTGGACCTGAGATCTGTGCACTGAGACCACAGCACGAAGACCAGCAGAGAGACGGTGGCAACAGAGCCAAGAGAGAGACCGGCACAAGTCAGAGGGATAGGCTTGCCAGCTGACAGGGTGAGAAAGCTTAATGCCTTCAGGCAGAAGGCTTCCTGGCAGAGTTGGTTGCTTTCAGGCACTAATTGGTGGAAGAGACTGGCATGAGATGGAACAGCAGGCTTGCTGGCCCACAGACGGATAAGCTGAGTGCCTTTTGGCAGGAAGCTTCCTGGTGGAGTAGGTGGCCTTCAGGCACTAATTGGTAGAGCTGAAGAGCTTTGTAGTACTTGTTAACAGGCACAGCCCAGGCTGGTTTCTTTGAGAGAACAAGGAAATAGGAAGCAGAGCTGCTTCTGTCTCAAAAGGGTAGGACCACAGCCTCTGGGGTTTCAGAAGATAGAAATGCTCCAGCCTCCTAGGTTTCAAAGAGTCTGATCTTCACTAACTCATTTCTGAAGGGTGAAGTTTCCATACGTGAGTGCTAGTGGCATGGGGCCATATCTGCTGCCCCAAAGTGAGGAGGTAGGGCTGCCATGCCTAAGGGACAGAAGAATAGGGCCTGCCAAGCCAAGGGCCTGAGGCCACCACTCAGACTAGGAGAATCAGGCCACCCAGTGAAGGAAATCTGTACAGGTGCCAAGTCCATAAGAGGTGGAATGTGGTAGTCAAGGTTGCATGTCAGCTTGGCTGGGCCTGGTTTTGAGTGGCTTGGCAGCTGGATGTAGTTACTCCCCGTGATGAGATTGTAATCACCTCCAAAGTGGAATCTGCTGTGAGTATGTCATCACTTGAAGGGGAGTTGCCTTCGAGGTGGGGCCTGCTTCCAATATATGTGGAGAAGCTTTGAGAAAAGTCTCTAACTTTCTTGGGCATTTTGGGTCCTGCATTTGGCCAAGTCTTCAACTCCAGTTCCTGGATTTGAACTAGTGTCTGCTGATCCTGGGATTTTGCTATTTTACCTGATGATCTTGGGTTTATCAGCCTCAGTAGCCAGTAGCTGCATGAGTCAGAAGAAGCCTTCAGCTCCAGTGAGTCTGGAATAAGAGAGCTGGAGCCCAAGGTCCAGGGGCCTTCATGTAGGCCCTAGAGCCTGGACTCTGAATTCACACTTCTAGCCAAATTCACACTTGTAGCCTTCTAAACTCTAAGAAAATAAATTCCTGTTGGTTAAGCCATTCACTTGTGGTATTTCCTGTTACAGCAGCACTAGAGAACTAAGATGACACACTTACATTGTTACAAGTCTATTCGCATACCTGTCTCCTGCTCCTGGATGCTAAGAACCTCATTCAGTTGACATTTAATCCTAGCGCAATGAATGAGTGCATGCATGAATGAATAAATGAGGTATACGTTGGGATTTTATTTCAAACCACTTTCTGAAAGTAGTTTGATTCGTCTTGAAGCTTTAATAATGAATTTAAAGCCAGTATGAGCTTAATTATCCTTGAAGACAGGACCTGTAATTTTTCAAAGCATTTTCATAAGTATGTTATTTGACCATTGTAATGACTCAGTAAAATAAGAAAGGCTGGTTTTACCATCCTCACATTATAGGCACAGGCACTAAAACATAGGGATGTTTGGTATCTTTCCCTAGATCATCTACCCAGTCACAGAGAAAAGGCTGCCAGCTGTGCTTACCTGGTGTTTTTACTTGTCCTTACCTGTAGTGCTTTATCCATCTGATTGCCTCAGTGTAAGAGCACATTTCCTGTGAGGAAAGGTGGTATAGTTTAGAATTTCTTAACACATAGCATTAGTATTCCGAAAGAAACACACTAGTGGTTTATCCTTGACAAATTTTTCTTTGTCTTTCTTGTTTACCCATAACATCCTATCTTATCAGATTCAGCTTGTCGTGTAGGAGGTGATAGATCCTGTAATCTTCTCCATAACCTCTTACATACTCTTGTTTTAGCTAGAGACATGTTTAAGCAATAAATAAGTGAAAGATGGATTTTCTCTGTGTAATAGTTCTGTTTATGTCAGTGAGCTTTCAAGAGAATAAACTAAATGAAAATTTAGTTATTATAAATGACTTTAACCGATAGAGGCAAAGTTCTCAGTACCCCATCCTTCTTCAGGTTTTACTGGTTTGGTGTGATGGGCTGGCTCAGAGTGGGAAGAATTGAGGTATTTGAGGCAGGATTTAGTCCAGGAAAACGTCTCCTCTTGTCATAGTTATGCATATGCATTAAAGTAGTAAAACAGTGATATGTAGATAAAAACAGCCCTCCTGAGGAGCTGATAGTGAATGTTTTGTTTTTCCCTCTGTGCAGTGGCCCAGACCTCACTGGTGGTACAGAACGTTTCGGTCATCCTGTGTGGAATCATCCTGATGATGGTTTTCTTACATAAGAACGAGCTTCTGACCATGTACCATGGATGGGTTCTTGTAAGTTCTCAATAAGATACTTGATTTCAGAAAATGGAACACCTGCTGGTGGTAAAAGATGAAAACTCTTGGAGGCTAGGAGGTGTCTGTTTGCAAATGTGACTTTTAATGTTGATGTCTACATCTACCTTAATGCTCCCTACAGTGTTTTTTCCCCTCAAACAGACAGGTACCCAATAAGTTTTGTTTGAATGTAAGTTTTGTCTTCTTGGTTTTTCCATAAATTTGTTACATAATTTAGCTGTCAATTAGTTTTAAGCTCATTAGTTAATACCTGCAATTTGTTCATACTATGTAAGAAGTATTATATATATATATCATGGTTGTGTATTCTAATGGTAACTGGTATTTCTGTTTGTTGTTGTTGTTGTTGTTATGTGCCATCGAGTCAGACCTGACTCATACCGACCCCTCCTTGGGTTGTTGAGGGAAGTAGATTGTCCAACCTTCCTTCCGAGGAGTGGCTGGTGGATTTGAACCGCCAGCCTTCTGGTTAGCAGTCAAGTGCCTTAGGCACTATACTACCAGAGCTCCATAACTTCTACTATAATTCCATGGTTCCTTAAAGGAGAAGAGGAGAGGAATGTGGTAGGGTAGAAAACATGAGTTTGATGCCACTATTGAGTCTTTTGGATGAATATTACAGAATTTCAAAGCTAGGGAGGACATTAGAAATCTAGACTAGTCCTTCATTTTGTTGACAAAAAAAAAAAAAAGAAACTAAGGCAACATTGATTGCCCAGTGTCATGCAGCTAGTAAGTATCAGAGCTCTGATCTCATTTCCTCTTTATTATTAATTTCAGAGAAGATATTGTAGGAAAAATATGAAAAACCAATGTTTGAACATTTTATGATAAACTGTTACATAAATTGCGCAGGCTATTAGAATTTTTGTATCACGCATACTGCAAATGATACGGCACGGTAAGATCTATGCCCTTTAACTTCACCAGTGGTATTTATTATTTCTTGTGTACAAAGTAAAATTATTTCTTATAAATTAAATTAAAACTAAATTTTACTGAGTCACCAAAGACCATTTTAAACTACCTTATACAGTGAAGTAGGTACAGTGTGGTAATACAATTGACATTTTATATTTTTCTTGTAACTGCTCAGACTTCCTGCTATATCTTGATCATCACTATTGCAAATATTGCAAATTTGGCCAGTACCGCTACTGCAATCACAATCCAAAGGGATTGGATTGTTGTTGTTGCAGGAGAAGACAGAAGCAAATTAGCAGGTAATTTGGTTTTATCTTTCAGTCCAATAGGATTACTTTAGGATTTACAGTAGTAATAAGTGAGACTGTGACTTCTTTTTGATTCCAAATATCTTTTGAGAATAATTACGTTGAAATTATTTTTATTTTTCTTTATCATGTTGTTTTTCTCAGTACACACATTTATATCATTGTTACAAAATGAATTTATAGGATATTTAATGTCTCTTTTAATTTATGAAAGCAGGAAAGATGGAAGAACAGTTTCTTTTCAACTTTCTTTTGTACTCTGTTAACTATTTCTAAATGTTTGCTTAATGCTTAAGAGGATGAAAATATGACATGGGATAAATAGTGTATCAGTCATACGGTTATTTTTCTCCAAACCAAATGGTGGTTGTTGTTGTTATGTGCCGTTGAGTCGGACCCGACTCATAGCGACTCCTCCTTGCGTTTCCGAGGCAGTATCACTACAGAAATAGATTGCCCCGTCTTGCTTCCGAGGAAACCAAATGGAATCAACTTAATTCTAGGAGGAATTCTAGAGTTTAATTTTCTACTTTAAAGTTGCAATCTATAGTCTTTATTATATTATATATGAAGTAATAGAATAATAGGTCCTATTACATACTAAGGAGTTCTGGTAGCATAGTGCCTAAAGCATTTGAGTGCTAACCAGAGGGCTGGCAGTTCAAACCCACCAGCCACTCCTCAGAAGGAAGGTTGGGCAATCTACTTCCGTAGTGATACTGCCTCGGAAACCCAAGGAGGGGTCGCTATGAGTTGGGTCCAACTCGATGGTACATAACAACAACAACAACAACAACATTACATACTAAAGAAACAGAGAACAGAATACAGTTTTTAAGATGCTTATAATTATAGTTGTCCATTGGAAATGCAGAGAAGTGGCCAAAGACAGGCTGAACAATGCGTACAAAGCAACATGTTCTATTGTATCTACAGCACTTGGGCTCAGAATAACCTTCCTAACTGTATTTTCTACCTGCCCCCCATAAAAGACACAGACACACATTGGATTGATAATTACAGAGTGAAGGAGAAAGAGTACACCTACCTACTGGTCATATCATTTGATTCAACTCTGCTAAGCTGTAAGATAATGGGTATCACTAATACATTGCCAGGACATCCTGACAGATAATATCCTGATGATTTCAATGGCTTATCCTAAGACAAACAGACAAGATTGTGTGCTGGAGTCACCAAGCAACTTTGCTTGACTAGTCATGTGATTTAAAAGAAAAAAAAAGGTTGAAAGGAGATAGTGAGAGAAAAGGAGCAAAGTTTGGAAGGTCTAGAACAAGAAGAATTTTCATGAGTCATCACTTTGAGTAGCAGTATTGTAATTGAGATAGAAATAGAACAGTGATTTTAGAGGTTTGTATGTGGTTATGATGAACTTAGCACGAGTCTAAACTATAGGAAATTCTTTTGGGAGTTCAAGTAGTGATTCTCCTTGACTTCTCTGTCTTCGATCATGTACCGTGGTTGTTGTGTAGGTGCTGTTGAACCAGCTCTGCTCATAGCAACCCTGTATACAGCAGAATGAGATGCTGCCTGGTCCTGCGCCATCCTCACATTCATGGCTGTGTTTGAGCCCATTGTTTCAGCCGCTGTGTCAAACCATCTCATGGAGAGCCTTCCTCTTTTTCACTGACCCTCGGCTTTACCACGCATGATGTCCTTCTCCAGGGACTGGTCCCTCTGGATAATATGTCCAAAGTGTGTGAGACAAAGCTCAACATCCTTCCTTCTGAGGAGCATTCTAGCTGTTCTTCTTCTAAGACATGTTCATTTTTTCTGGCAGTTCATGGTATGTTCAATATTCTTTGCTAACACTACAATTCAAAGGCATCCATTTTTCTTTGGTCTTCCTTATTCATTTTCCAGCTTTCACATGCATGTGAGGCAATTAAAAGTACCCTGGTTTGGGGCAGGCAAACCTTAAGGTAACATCTTTGCTTTTAACACTTCAAGAAGGTCTTTTGCAGCAGATTTGCCAAGTGCAGTACTTCATTTGATTTGACTGCTGCTTCCATGGGTGTTGACTGTGGATCCAAGGGAAATGAAATTTTTGAGGACTTCAAAATTTTCTCCACTTACCATGATGCTACTTATAGCCCAGTTGTGAAAATTTCTGTTTTCTTTATGTTGAGGTGTAATCCATGTTGTAGGCTGTAGTCTTTGATCATCAGTATATGCTTCAAGTCCTCTTTGCTTTCAGCAAGCAATGTTGGGTCATCTGCATATTGCAGGTTGTTAATGAGTCTGCTTCCAATCCTGATGCTGTGTTGTTTTTCATATAGTTCAAATTCTTGTATTATATTTTTAGCATAAAAATTGAATAAGTATAGTGAAAGGATGCAACCCTGGCACATTTTCAAAAGCATGTTGTTGTTGTTGTTATTATGTGTGCCATCGAGTCAGACCCAACTTATAGCGACCCCTCTTTGGGTTTCTGAGGCGGTATCACTACGGAAGTAGATTGCCCAACCTTCCTTCCAAGGAGTGGCTGATGGGTTTGAACCGCCAGCCTTCTGGTTAGCAGTCAAGTGCCTTAGGCACTATGCTGTCAGAGCTCCTTTCAAAATCATAGATTTTGAAAATAGGTTACATACGTGTTTGTTGGAAAACATTTTGGGAAAAATGTTGACTTTTTAAAATGATTTTTTCTCATTTATCTAAACTTCTTAACAACTCATTTTGGCTCCTACGATTTTTTAAAATATATCTATATTGATAAAATTTATAGAATAGCTCTGAAAGGAGAAAGATACTCAGAATCTTTACCTTGTTCTGGATAGATGGATGGATAGGTGGATGGTAGGTAGGTAGGTAGGTAGGTAGGTAGGTAGATCCCATTTAACTTTATTATGTCCCAGAACAAGAACAGCAAATATATGACTGCCCATTGCAGCTTGGAAGAGTCTAGGCTAACGAGTTGATTTTCTAGAAATTTCTCAAGTTTATGTCTGTTGAACTTTTGTCCACTTTAAGTTAGAATTTAGTAAGTGGTGTTCTTTCAAATCCTTGCAGGGGTGTAGGTTAATAGTGAAAGAAACCTACATGCTGCCTCTTCTAAAGTTTTAACCTCAGAATTTGTGTTACATTTAAAATCCATGCTTCAAAGTGAGATACAGAAACTCCTTCAGTTTAGGGTCTAACTGAATTTTTGGTGCTAAAAGGAAGCACGCAAGTTGCGCTGAGAAAAAGGATTGAAGAGAAATAAAAGGGAGAAGGGAAAAAGTACACCTGGAAGCAACTCCAGCTGGTGCCGTGGACGCCTCTGACAGTGTGTCTGTGTACACAGGTGTATCTGCTCCAGTCAGCAATAATGTACTTTTATGCAGGCTAATTTTTGAAGATTGCTGGCAAAGACTGTTAGAAACCCTGAGCAAGAGCTTGGTCATGGAAGGCTGAATCTGTGTATGTTCTGAGTGTCGTGTGTATGTGTGCAGAGGGTGAAGGAAAAGAGGTGTAGGCATAAAGGATAAAGGTTGTGAGCTGGATCCGACCTGGTCCCATGTCCTTTAAATATCCCAGTGTTTCTTGGTTTCGAAAGTTTAAAAATTGGAAATTGTGTCACTGGGGGTAACAGGAGAAGTTTCCCTGGCAAGGTTGAAAGTTTCAAAATTTCGGTGGCATCAGGCCACACTATAGCTGTCACCATAGAGTTTAGATAACCTCATAAAGCATACTGTTTTTCATAAAAAGAGATATTATTAATTAATCTGTTAGCTAATTTTCCCAGCTACTTTATGTAGTGGTTTTTGTTTTTAAACATTCTCTTGTGCCAGGACTCAGCCTGTCCAACCTGTTTACACTCACTTCCTTTTCCCAGCCCTTTAATTCCATCCGCTGCTTTCCTTCCTTCCCTGTTTCCTTTGTGCTTCACTGTTAGCAGTTTCTGAAGTTTCCTTTTTGCCCACCATTCTAAGGGAGAATCTGCTGCTAAACTTGACCAAGTATGGGGGATAAATTTCGTGTTTGAACTCAATTGATTAAAAATTGGTTTTCTTTTGGTGTTAGATAAGCCAGCTCGGTGCGATATGTTCAGCATATACCATTTTAAAATCATTGCAATATTGCGATGTAATATGCCCTTTATCATGTCAAGGAGCCCTGGTGGCACAGGGGTTAAAGTGCTTGGCTGCTAACTGAAATGTTGGTGGTTCAGAACCATCAGCCGATCCAGGGGAGAAAGATGTGGCAGTCTGCTTTTGTAGATTATGGCCTTGAATAGCCTATGAAGCAGTTCTGCTGTGTCCTGCAGGGTTGCTGTGAGCCAGCTGACAACAGCAACAGGTTTCTAATGTTAAGTCCTTAGGTAGTGTCATGTTCTGGTCCACAACTGTAGCTGGAAAAGGTTAAATTGGAATTATATGTTCACACATTTCTGTGCTTTTTATAAGAATAAATATAAATTTGTAGAGTATGTGTTTGAACATTCAGAGGACTGTTTCTTCTCTGTTCTGTTACCAGTAAAATAATTAGGTAATTTTTTGATTAAACTCATTCTGCTTTGGAAAAATAAAAGGCTTTTTTTCTGTAGCTACGTTTCTTCTGACACCTAAACATTATTAACTTCCAATGTATATCATTGGAGAGGGAGATTCATGGCATTAAGAAGCTCCATGTGCCTTTGCAAACCGAGGTAGAGAGGTAGTAAATTAACATAATTTTAACGAAAATAACTTTCTGTTATTGTTCTATTCTTTAAGATTAAAGTGTATTTTTTTATTTACTTACTTTGTGGATTCAAATTATCCAGTTATTGGGTCACTTCTTTATTTCTCTGTTAGTATGTAGGTTGGAACCTTACTATTGGGAGGCAGGTGAAAGTTAGTGAAGCCTCTGCAAAAATGGTCACGTGTAAAATCAATGAAAACCGCCTTTGCCTTTCCAAGGGAAAGGTGAAATATGTCAAAGTTCTTCTGTTATCAAGTAAGCATTATATGCTCAAGGACTAATTGGAAGGTAATTGAAGACCAGGAAGAATTAGAGAAAGAATAAAGGCAGCTTTCTGTTAATGTACTTAGTAGTCACGTACTACTTTCCCTTAAGAAGCCCCAGATTATTGTTAAAAACTAGGGTCATTAATTTTCACTCTATCCTGTGATATAGAGAATGAGAAAATAGGTGATTTTCTTGACTTCCACTCCTTCATTGTCCTCTACCTTGACTCAGTTATATGTTTCTGTGGTCATACCCTAGACCTATCATCACCAAAAAATTCTCCCCTTCCATAATCTCAGTTGTAGGCACCCATATATTGAACTAATATCTCCAATTTTTCCAGGTCAGTTCTACTAGTACCCCAACCCCAACAGTTCTCCCATCTCCTCAGCACCTATAAGTTCTTGATTATACTACCTTTTCCCTGTTCATGGGTCCTTTTTTTGTCTCCTGTCCTTAGCCAGTTTCTGTTTCAAGGTCATTTATTATAATCATCTATTAGCAAGTACCCTTAACTCACTTGGCTCTTCCATTTTTGTTACTTTTGTATAAGACCTTTGTTAAATCTAGCACCCCACAATTGAGTGTGGCTGGAGAAAAACACATATCATTGCTCACTGCTCTCAAAGTTCATGATCTCTGAGTTCAAGTTGGCCTTTTCACTTTGCTAGATGAACTTAATATCTTCCCTTGTCCTTTCCTTTTCCTGCTTTCCTAGATGACTGTCTCAGTGCTTTCTTCTTCATACAGTCCATCCTCACTTTGATGATGACTTTGCTTTCTATTTTAGAAGAATATGGGGGAAATGAGAAGAGAACCTCCATGTGCTCCTGCTGTCATTCTTCCTACCTATAGCTATAGCCATATGCATTGCCTACACTCTTGTTACTGTGGCTGCATTGCTTGTGCTCTTATCTGAGGACAGCTCTTCCCCTTGCTTAGTAGATTTCTGATTTTATTCTTCTCGTATTGTATCATTCCCATCAGCATATACTCACTGCCATCGAGTCAGACATACATAATTTTATGCTCTTAAAAAATAGCAATCTTTCCCATTCTTCCTCCTCTACCACCCCATTTATTTGTTCACTGTCTTAGCAAAACTTATCAAAAAGAGTTGCTTATGCTCACTCTCTCCCAACTCTTTTCTGTGGCCAGGATATTGTTTTCATAAACCCAGGAGGAGATATTCATGTTCTATTCCAGAGAGTGCCCCATGGAGATAAGTGGTGCCCTGTGGAGTTGTATACTTAATATTATAAGTTGTGCCAATCAAGCATTTGCCCTTTTCAGTCTACCAAAACTTCTGGAGGGTCCCTGGCATCGACCATGTGACCACATTAGTGCTACTGGCAGAGAGCATATAATATAGTTGATTACATCCTCCTCTTTGAAACATTGTCTCCACTTGGCTTCTAGGACACCACACTCTCCTAGATTTCTTCCTATTTTGTTACTTCCACCTCACCTTCCTACATTCTGAACTTTGTTACATACTGGACTTGTTCCTCATACCTCTTCTTGTCTTGATCTACACTCACTTCCTTGGTGATCCCCTCCAATCTCATTGTATTAAATATCAGCAAGTTAACAACCCCCAAATTGGACCCATACTTCTTCCCTGAACTCTAAGCTCATATATTCAACTGCCTATTTTCATGACTTCTTGATTGTCAGTAGGCCGTCCAAAACCACATCTCCAAAATCAAATGCTTTTCTTCTGAAGTTTTCTCTTTCTCAGTAGTGGCAACTCTGCACTTCGGTTGCTCAGGCCAAAAACTTTAGAGGCATCCTTGATTCTTTCTTTCCCTCTCACATCCCATGTCTAATCTGTTAGCACATCCTCCTCATTCTACCATTCAAATATATCCCTGCCTTTTTTTCCCCCATTTCTCTTGTTGTTACTCACCATTTCCTACCTCTCTCCTTACCTCTACCTCTACCTGTTGCTCCCCTCCCCTTCACCCCACAATCTTTTCTCAACACAGCAGCCAGAATGAGCCTTTTAAAATTACAAGTCAGACTATGCCATCTCTCTTTTCAAAATGTTCCAAAGGCTTATTGTCCCATTTAGTGTAAAAGCCAAAGTACGTACAGTTTCCACAGACCCTAGGACTTTCCCCTTCCCTTGGTCCGGAATTCTCCTTCATTGATTTGCACTTGGCTTACTCTTTTGCCTCTTTGCACTTCATGTTTTCTCCTCTGAGACCCTCCTTTTCCAGTGAGTCCTTCCCTACCCTTTAAAATAAAAATCTCCCCCTTTCTTCTGAGCCCCTTGCCATTCTCCTTTTCTGCCCTTTTTTTTTTTTTTGCCGTATCATTTATTGAACATGTGATGTATACTGTATATGTATGTGCTTAATGATTCATATCTCTCTCTTCCTATTAGAATGTAAACTCCATAAAGACATGGAGAGATACTTTTTTCCCTTCATAGTGCCTACAATGTTGCTAGCTCTTAATACACTTTCAATAAACATTTGTTGAATAAATGCATAAATATAGAATGACTTGTATTCATTTTAAAAGTTGGTGCTAGACTAATTTATAAAATCCCAGAGAAATAATGATTTGTAGGGAAATTTAGTGTGACTTGCTAGAAACAGAAAATGTTCTCCTAACAAAATGGTTTATCCAGAGTGCTTTTCAGAAATTTATATAGGCAGGAATCTACATTCTTAGTTCATGTCTCCGTGTTAAGTAAGTGGAACAGTCTCTTTGATAGGTTTGCACACTTATCTGCCTCTGTCACCTGCCTCTATAGATATGAATGCTACAATACGAAGGATTGACCAGTTAACCAACATCTTGGCCCCCATGGCTGTTGGCCAGATTATGACGTTTGGCTCCCCAGTCATCGGCTGTGGTTTCATTTCGGGATGGAATTTGGTGTCCATGTGTGTGGAGTACTTTCTGCTCTGGAAAGTTTACCAGAAAACCCCTGCTCTAGCTGTGAAAGCTGCTCTTAAAGTAGAGGAAGCTGAATTGAAACAGCTGAATTTACAAAAAGGTAAATTCAACAAGATGATCATTCTTTTTTTTTCTGATATTCAGAACTTAAATGCTGGTGAAGACCCAAATTATTTTGAGTTTGCCTCAGGTTTTATTATCAGTAAAGACCTGTATCAGGCTAATTATGTATCATAGATAGATAGATAGGTAGATAGATAGATAGATATCATATGTCATGTAATTATATACTGGTGGGTGAGACAAAGGTTGAGTGTGAAGGGACTAGAATGGGCCTTTCACCCTTTTCCTTAATGTTTGTTGGAAACACCGAGGAGTGACTAGTTGAGGGATAGCAGGAAAAAGGTAAGCCATAAGAATGGGGAAAATAGTAGAAAAAGAAAACAAGAGGTTCCTAGGAATTTTTGAAGAAGCAATTACATGGTCAGTTGTTGACCATTTGTAAGATGGTGAAAGGAATGAGGACATGAAGGTGGACATTTCCTAAGAAGAGAAGAAGAAGTTGGGCTTTTAGGCAAATAGAATCTTAACAAGGCCCCAGAAAATAAGATGCTGTATTTTCTTACATTTAACAATTTTTATATTTTATATGATGAGTTTTCCTGCTAATTGCTTTTGGTGGGAGTATAATCTCTAAAAGAGAGGGAGAGAGAGGGAGAGGGAAAGGAGGAAGTGGAGAGAGAGGAGGAAGAGAGAGAATGAGAATATGACTATGAATCAATAGTATTTTACTGAGTTAACATAAATGTTACTTGGAGATTGCACCTTGGCTGGAATTCTCAGGTTATTAGTAAAAGAAAAGACATGTTACGGTGTAGCATGCGAGAGTCCCCATGAGAAAAGGGGAAGAGGAGAAGAAAAAATGTTAAGTAAGATGATTTTACTGGCTAATTTTTTAATGCCCTAGCCCCCCCTAAAATGATAATATCTCTTTATTAACAGATACTGAGCCAAAACCCCTGGAGGGAACTTGTCTAATGGGTGCGAAAGACCCCAACATCCTTGAGCTTGAACGTGAGCAAGAGCCCAGCTGTGCCTCCCAGATGGCTGAGCCCTTCCGCACCTTCCGAGATGGATGGGTCTCCTATTACAACCAGCCAGTGTTTCTGGCTGGCATGGGTCTTGCTTTCCTCTATATGACTGTTCTGGGCTTTGACTGTATCACTACAGGGTACGCCTATACTCAGGGGCTGAGCGGCTCCGTCCTCAGTATTTTGATGGGAGCTTCAGCCATAACTGGAATAATGGGAACTGTGGCTTTTACTTGGCTCCGCCGAAAATGTGGCCTGGTGCGTACTGGTCTGATCTCAGGATTTGCACAGCTTTCTTGTTTGATCTTGTGTGTGATCTCTGTATTCATGCCTGGAAGTCCCTTGGACTTGTCTGTTTCTCCTTTTGAAGATATCCGAAGCAGGTTCATTCAAGCTGAGCCACTGCCCGCAATTACATCTACACAAGTACCTGAAACCATCTTTACAGCTGAAATGCATATGTCAAATGGGTCCAGTCCTACTAATTCTGCCCTACCGACGAGTCCTAAATCTGTGCCCATAATCTCTGTCAGTCTGCTGTTTGCAGGTGTCATTGCTGCTAGAATTGGTAAGTGAGCTCTTTTGGTATATTAAAGAACTAAAGTGTCATGTTAGCATGTGGGTACAGAGATTTCGGTAAGTGATACCACCTCGGAAACCCAAGGGGAGGGATCGCTATGAGTCAGGTCCGACTCAACGGCATATAACAACAACAAGTGGTCTGTAATATTCCCTTAAATGTTAATTTAAGCAAAACCATTATTTATATTTACTTGTAATCTATTTTTTAATTATGAAAGTATTTTAGAATTAAAGTAACTATTTTTGTGTTTTTATATATATACACATACATGAATATACATTTACTTTCTTAAACTTGTTTGAGGCTTGAAAATATTTTCTAAATGAACATTTTGGGAATTACTCTTAGAATATAATTTAATTCATTGTTAAAGAAGATGTCTATGATAATTATACTGTCATTTAGCAATTTAGAGTCTATATTGCTATAACTAGGAGCTCTGGTAGCATAGTGGCTAAGGCACTTGACTGCTAACCAGAAGGCTGGCGGTTCAAACCCACCAGCCACTCCTCAGAAGGAAGGTTGGGCAATCCTACTTCCGTAGTGATACTGCCTTGGAAACCCAAGGAGGGGTCGCTATGAGTCAGGGCTGACTTGACGGCACATAACAACAACAACAACATTGCTATAACTACCAAAAGAACTATAATTTGGAGACTATTTCTATGGTATGAGGTAAAAATGATAGTGTTTTTGGTTTCAAAAAAAAAAGACATAGTGGTGAGAAAAAAAATCCTTCAAAGGTTCTTTATAGCTGATGTGTGTTATATACTTTGCCACACAAATAGATTTTATAGCTCTGGAAGGAAACTTAATGTAAAGATTTCTTACAAAGCAAAATTTAAGTAATCATTAATAGAGTGCTGATGAATTATCACTGGCCAAATTCTTTCTTGAAATGAAACCATATTTATCTTGTGATTCAAAGCATGTTCCTTAATTTATCAAAGACATTAACATTGAAGCAGGACAGTTTTATTATAGGGGCTTTAGAACTCAAGTAGTAAATGTAATAATGGTTTAAAGTTTCCTTACACTTTAATCGTAAACAATCTATTCATTCCATTCATTTTAACTTCCAAAATGTTAGTACTTACAACGTGATTTGTTATGTTTCTGATTTTAGAGTTTTACTTTGGTAGTAGGAAAATGGAATTTAAAAGTTTGTAGATTTAGGGAGTAAAAATAATTTCTTGAAGCCGTTAATAACCCAGGATTTATAAATGAGAAATAATTCTCTAAGGAAGGCTATGATTAAACGTATATAAGGGGACTTTAAGGCAGCAAGACCAAAGTGTGTGTTTTGCATATGTCAACACATTTATGTCTGTCAGTGTGAAATGTATGATTATAAATTTACACTCAATCTTTTTTTGAAGATTAAAAGATTTAAATCTTTTTTTTTAATAGGTCTTTGGTCTTTTGATTTAACTGTGACACAGCTCCTGCAAGAAAATGTAATTGAATCTGAAAGAGGCATTATTAATGGTGTCCAGAACTCAATGAACTATCTTCTTGATCTTCTGCATTTCATCATGGTCATCCTGGCTCCGAATCCTGAAGCTTTTGGGTTGCTTGTATTGATTTCAGTCTCCTTTGTGGCAATGGGCCACATTATGTATTTCCGATTTGCCCAAAAAACTCTGGGCAACCAGCTCTTTGTTTGTGGTCCTGATGAAAAAGAAGTTAGGAATGAGAATCAAAACAATACATCTGTTGTGTAAGACGGTTTAACTGTTGCTATCCCTGTTACTAGATTATATACTGCACAAGTGCTTATTTTATACTTTAAAGGTCCTGTGAATTGTTGGGTGTTTCTAGTTTTTACCACAGCTATGCCTTGAGGGCTAATTGCTGTTTAAGAAATTTAAGACAGCAGAAATGAATTGGTTAATTTCCCTTACATTTAGAGAAGGAAAAAAATAATAGGAAAAAGAAAAACTCAGTTTCCATAAGGAAAATAAAATGGTAACACCAAGTCTCCCTATTTCTTATGAACAGATAATATTTTACCTAAAAGGGTGATTTGTTGTGTGAATTAAATTATTCTTTGGCAGATATTTATCTCCTGCACTAGAATTCAGATATGCTGGTTTTCCCTAAAACTCACTCTTGTTCAGGTCAGTTTACTTCTTTGGTATCTTATTTTCATTTATATTATAAAAACAAATAAATTCTGCTCCAAGTGGGAAGACTAAAGTTTGATAATCAGTATTATCCTTATTGATCCTACTTATCTTAATGGATTTAAATGTCTGTGGAAAAACTAAATACTTAACTAGATTTCTCTAATAGGGCTTATGGCTTTAACTTAAGGGAGCACCTTCATATTTTTATCATAGAGGGCAGGATGTTTTAGTAAGCATATGTAGCACGTCATAACATAACTGTATGTAAGCTGCAGGCAGAAGCAAAGCTATAAAGTAGATTTATAACACAGTGGTATGTAAGAATTTCAGCTATACCAGTAGCTTTCAGACATCACATGCTAATAGTTTGGCCGTAGAAACTAGAAGCTAGAAGTCTCACAGAAGTAGGAGATCTAAATTGAATTCATGCCACCATCACTAATGATCTACTCTAGTTTAGAAAAGTAGGAGTAAATCTTAAGCCTGGCACATTAAATGTAGAAAGAAAGCCCACACTTGGAAAGGTTTTACATTTGATTTAAACTGCTTAGAGCATTTTTACTTTTACTGTTTTGTACCCAGGAGTTATTTTTACATAGTTGTAGGGCAAGAATGTTCATAAATGTATTCCTTTCAAAAGTCTTGGAAAAGAATGAAGGAAAAAAAAAACATTTTTGTACATATTTTTAAAAACTGTTTTAGAAGTCATTTTGCAACATGCCAGTACCTACGTGGTACTTTGCCTTAATTGTTTATGCACTTTCATGGAGACTGCAATACGTTGCTATGAGGCACTTTCTTTGTCCTTGAGGTTTAATCTTTTTCTTCTTCCTACAGTGTGACATAATGATTTGCTATATTGTAAAATCTTTGTAAAATATTTCTATAAAAAATATTTTAAAAAGCTTGATTTCTTTTTTTCTGAATTTATTCCCCATTTAATATTGCTTTTGTTAGAGAATATCTGTTTTAGATAATGTGGTTTTTTTTTTTCTCTTAAAGCTATGGTTGCATAATAACTCACAATATTTAGGATTATCTCTCTACTCACTTTTCTAGATTTTAGTGGCCTGGATAAAAGTGTAGTGTACATGAGGCCCATCACTCATTTGACATTGAAAAGTCGCTTTAACCTCTTTGTTCTGTTTTCTGTCAATTGGAGATTATACTATAAAACCAACCCTACGTACTTCACAGCTTTCCTGATTGTATCAAGTAAAACACATGGAAGTACTTTGTGAACTACAAGACTACTGGGATAGTGTTTCTAGAGGTTGGATCTAGGAAATGAGTCTCTGCAGCAGGGTGGAGGCCTGCTGATACTCCAGAGTCACATGTACTGAAGACTTGATCTATGACCCCACCGTGATTGGTCCTGGGGAAGCAGATACGACTCAGTTGATTAAAGGCTCATTTTCCCCAAAATTGGGAGCTTGTGAACTTTTGGCATTTCTCTATAGCTACTGATATGCTTGTGACTTTTGAGCAGACAGGAGATGTCTCTGTTATGTTTGGCTGCAGGCTTGCATGGGTCATTCTGCTCCTTCCCACAGGGACTGAGCTGGGGTTGGAGTTCTGCTCTGAGTGTTTACAGCTGTAACTGAAGAACTGTGGGCTAGTAAAATGAAGAGAATCATATGCTCAGCTCCCAACATAGGCATTTTGCCAGACTGTAGCTAGAGAGAAAAAGAGAGGCCCTGTGAAAAAGGAAGGAGATGGAGTTGGAAAGTTAATAGGAATTTTTATAGTTGCTGCCCTTATCTTTACAGACTGCTCAGAGCAGGAAGATGAGGAGGATCACTGCTGGTCTAGACAGCCTTTGCTCTTTACTGCCCCAGAGCATAGAAGTAGGGCAGGGGTAGGTGACTTGTGTGTCTGTATCTGGGTGTGTTTTTAAAGAAACCCAAAAGCCCATTGCCATCAAGTCAATTCCAACTCTTAGTGACCCCACATGACAGAGCAGAACTGCCCCACAGGGTTTCCAAGGCTAGAATCGATATAGAAGACTGCTGTATCTTTCTTCCTTGGAGCAGCTAGTCTTTCAAACTGCTGACCTTTTGGTCAGCTGCTGAGAACTTTAATCACTGAGCCACCAGAGCTCTTTCCATCTGTCTAAATAGGAGGTATAAAACACAAATACTTAGAGAGTAATACCTACAGATAGTGCAAATTAATGAAATGAACTAGATACAAGAAAATACCATTTAGTAAGTAATTGCATTTCACTTAAAAACAAGTTCATTACATTATTTCATGCTTTTCTGTGTTCCACACAAGCTGCTTATGGTTATCATGTTGGTTCTTTCAGCATAAATACCCTTTGCATATTAAACATGGAAGTCTCCATTTTCACAAATAAATATGCCTACTCATTTTTTTTATGAAACATGGCTTGTTTGATCTACCTTTCATTGTTATGTGTTGTTATGTGTCATCGAGTCGGACGTGACTCATGGTGACCCCTCCTTGGGTTTTCAAGGTGGTATCACTACAGAAGTAGATTGCCCAACCTTCCTTCCGACATACCTCCTTTGAAAAACTGGAGATATTTATCAAAACACAAAAGCAATGTAAGAGCTGTGCTAAGTGGCAGATGGCACTGGAACTCCTGTTGGGGAGGTAATAGGGTGTGGTCTGGGCTATGCAGAGTGGGAGAGCATACACCCAGGAGAAAGGGGTAGCTGTATGCAATTCCAGTTGGAACTCTGTGGCATAGTGCCTAAGGCATTTGACTACTAACCAGAAGGCTGGCAGTTCAAACCCACCAGCCATTCCATGGAAGGAAGAGTGGGCAACTCCCGTAGAGATACTGCCTTGGAAACCCAGTGAGGGGTTGGTATCTGAGTTGGAATTGACTTGATGGTGGTGAGGTTTTTTTTTTTTTTTTCATGCAGGAATGTGGGCCCTGTGTAGCCAGATCTTTTACTTTTTTGAGAGAAGTTGGGAGTCCAGAATTTTGTGTGAAATCTCAAAATTCTGAAGTGCTGGCCACTAATTCGAAAATATTTTGCTGGCCAAAGTCCATCTATGAGTTGTCAATGAGCCACCAGTGGTCTGCCATTTTTTGAGCTTTTGGCTGAAGGAATGGTTGGTAAGCAGGAGAATGGTATTAAATAAAGTTAGTAGATGAAGGAGAAGAAGGGGTGTATGTAGAAAAATTGCACAATCAGGAGAACAAGAAAGAACGAGGCAAACACATTTCTGTGGTTAAAAAATGTCAAGCTGTTAGACATCCTTTATTGGAGATCATTTAAGGTCAAATAACTTGTACATTTAGTGTATCTGCCATATAACATCAAAGAGAATTCTGCCACAAAATTCCTTTATTCTGTGTGTTGCTTGCATTGTTGGGTTACAGGATGAAGATGATTTAAAAAAACAAAAGTCAACTCTTAAAGGTTGTCTGACTTATAGTGCACTAATGTTTTGGAAAAGTACAGAATTGTGAAGAGTCTCTTCCCATCTCACTCCTTCAATCCTCAGACACATCAACTGTGAACACCTTGGGGGTGAAACTTTATAGACCATTGCTTTTTAGTGATTTTTTAAAATGCCTGTTTATATAATTAAGGAGCTCTGGGGGCGGGGGTGGCACTAGCAAACACACTCGGTTGCTAACCAAAAGGTCACATGTTCGAACCCATTAACCACCCATTAACAGGAGAAAGATGAGGCAGTCTGCTTCTGTAAAGATTTACAGCCTTGGAAACCCTTTGGGGGAGTTCTGCTCTGTCCTGGGTCATCAACATTATATTGACCTCTGTCTATGTCCATCTTCTGTCTACTTACCTACCTATTTATAGATA